AGACCTTTTTCTGTTTTTTATTTTATTTTTTTAACCTGTACTGTACATACAAGAACTACAACCGACTATTTATATTGGCACGTAATTTGGATTACAATTCTGATTCTCGGTAGGAGGAAGCACTGGGACTGTCCTTTTTTTAAAAATATTTTTTTCCTGTCAAGTATTTTAAAGGTGTAAATATATGTTGGGCAGGGACAATATTTGCAAATTCAACGAGGAGTCTAGATTTGTCATATTTCGCTCCCCATATTGTGGGAACTATAATTGTTTTAAATTGTAGGTTTGTATTCTACTGATTTGCATTTCAAATAAAGTGTTCAGTTTTTTTCAGTTCTACTTGATGTCGATTTTTGAAAAAACTGCCTAGTGCGTTTTAACTATTAATTGACTTTGATAGTGATTGTTATAAATGTTGCGCTGTGAATGGCAAAACTTTTGAGGTGGCATCGCTTACTATGAATCAATACACACATTTAGTACATATGTAATGTGTACAATTTTGATTTTCAAAACCAAGTCGTGTCACTACAATTAGGGTAACCTGATACAGAGCTCTAATGGATTAGGGTACCATCTTCTTGGGCAGTCGATAACCAAGCCGACTGAGATTGTAGTGGAACCACTTCGCTTCCTTTTAAACCCAAGCCCCCTTATCGCTTCAAACGTAGGTTAGAGTAACTTTTTATGATTGTGCCATGGAAAAAATGACTATGTTAAACTAAATTGAAGAGCCTGTTTCTGCTGGAAAGAATTAGATGCGCAAAATAACCTTTAAATACAAATACTACCTTGTTGACCTGTAGATTATTATATATAATGCTTCATCCGTGACACTGTTGGAAATATGTTAAACATATACAGCATACCCCACATTTTGTGCAGATGCATAGCTGACAAACTACTTACGAAAGCACAACAGTCCAAGGGCGAAACATTCCGACCTATTTGGCTTACAGCTAAAGATCTGTGTTTAATATATGAATTAAAATGAGTTGTAAATTTTAGGCAAGTAATCATGTAGTAATACTGATGAATTAGTCGGGAAGAACGAGGCATGACTGCATGTCATATGCAACACAAAACCCTTTATCTAATTTCATCTTCATCGAGTCTCTGTCGAATGAGAGGTTTCCGTGCTCAAAATCCTACTTTCACCTCATTTTATAAAGGGCTCTGGGAGAAATGTCAGCCTACACTGTAAGACTTAATGATTGTCGTGTATTAAGAAAATTAAATATACAGCCGACTAAATATATACGGTGGCAAAGTGATTAACACTGTTGCCTCACACCTCTGGGACCCGGGTTCGAGTTTCCACCATAGCCCCATGTGTGTGCAGTTTGTCTTCTCCCCACATGTCATATTTCCTCCGGGTACTCAAGCCCCCACATTCCAAAAACATGCTAAGTTTAATTGGAGTTTTTCTTTTAATAAAAATCACACATTCTGGCAAATTGCAATGTCCTATTACACCATCCAAGGCACTGCTGTGCCCCAGCATAAATTGAAATATTACATTGCCCATAATTAGAATATATTAATGCTATATTTGATATGATATATTTGCGACACACCCATTAAAGGAATACATGCGTGACTCATAGACGACACGGAACCTTCACATAATACTGTCCTTTTCCTGGTGATCATGGTAACGATGGTGTTGATCCTGCTTGACTTAATCATTGCCATCCTCCATTATTGCAGGTAAGCTGCTTCTGCCACCTGTTATTTTTTTTATGATTATGGAAATAAGGGAAAAACAAACATTAATTAGAAATAGCTATTCTGATGAGTGCATGAGTCATTTTAATAAAGGAGACGGCAGCTGTTTTAAAATGGAACTTATTCTCTTTATTCTAGAGACCACAGCTGCAAACGTGGAAGCCAACAATGTACACGAGACATTTACATGGTTATACGCTAATGAAAACACATGCATTCCACAACAAACATTACATGGTTATACGGTAATGAAAACACACACACTCCACAACAAACATTACATGGTTATACGCTAATGAAAACACACACACTCCACAACAAACATTACATGGTTATACGGTAATGAAAACACGCGCATTCCACAACAAACATTACATGGTTACGACACTTACTATTTACAACATAAATACACATATTAATTTACACTATTTACACATAGTGTGGTGCTAGACATGTCAATAACTAATTATTTAGTCCAGATATAGGTAATACAATTCATTATATACATTTTTGTTCTTATTTCACACTTTTGTGAAATATCCAGTTTCTAAATTCCTTGATTGTTTACCCTAATTTTAAATATTAAATACACTGATCAGCTATAACATTAGGCCCATTGACGGATGAAGTGAATAACATTTATTAGGCCAATCTTGTTATAATGGTGCCTGTCAGGGATGCTGTTATATATTAGGCGAAGGAACAGTAATTTATTTTCAGTGTTGACGTTAATGGCCTTTGCTAGGCACCTGCTGTCATTATACACCACTGCTGGCCAATCTCCAGCCTCAACGCTGTGTAATATCACCCTCAGGACCTTTACCTAGCCCCTCTTCCATTTCCTCCTTCATCATCTCTTCTATTTCCTCCATCTTCCCTTCCATCTTCTCCATCCTATCCAACCAGCTACTACTGGAAGCTTGTGTTGGACTCCATGGCCCTGTGCATCAATTATTGGCTCTAGATCAACACCTGCAAGGGTTTTACCGTTTTCATTGATTTCATTGACGCCTCCTTGCCCAACTCCACCCAGGTGAAGATGTCCTTCTGGACAGTGCCCTTTCCCAGATTGCCTTTCTCCATAATCAAAGCATTTCCAGTCTTGGGCTACAACTTGCCCAGAATTCCACAGCCAGGATAATAATATGTTCCAAGTCCATTGGCTCCCTCACACCTTTCCTCATTCAAATCCACTGGTTCACTGTGTCCCATCAAAAACACTTCAAAATACGAGTCTTAACATATCAAAGCCCTGCATACTCTGCCCCCCCCTCTAGTTTGTAAACTACAAGCAATTTGCAATCACAGCTATTCAGTATAGACTTGTTAAAATTCCAAACTTAAGTCTCAAAATAAAGACAAAAATAAATGATGCCTATGTCTTGCATGGGTCAAATAAAGCAGCTATGATATAAAACTCATTCTCTATGTCCACCAGTAGACTCTTTTTTTCTCTGTTTATGACTTGGCTTGTTTATGAACATAAAAGCTACCTAAATCTGAACTGAAACATATTTGGGAAATGGCTCTAAACCAGAAGCCTGTCAACCATTAAACGTGCTCTTATCAAATTAGCTGGAAAGATCCTCATTTTAAGGTATGAGATATTTATAACCTGTGAGCCATTTGCTAATGTTTTATTTATCATTTATAAATTGAGTAAAGTACCAACGATTCCTCGCCATTCCCCTGTATCACATTCCCAGCGAGTCGCTAACTTAATGGTTTCGATTTTATTCTGGGATTCTGGGACCGAAGCTCTCGAGTCGTTTTCAAACAGGAAGGAATACTATAGTAGGGCCCCAATTTTCATGCACAATAAATTGTATCTAAATACCATAAAGATTTGATATACTGCCCAGCCCCCAGAGACCAAGCTGTCACCACTACCATACCGTCTAATGCCAATGTAGCTGTTCCTTGGACAATGTCAGCCCCTTGGCCCATGGCTCTCATAGCCTTGGCTTTCGGAACGATCATTCTGGAGGTGAAGAGGATGCCCGGGTGCAGCTTCCAGCTACTGAGTTGTGGAGTGACGGGTTCCTGCAGTGATAGCCTGTCAGTAGACTGACTGCTGCAGCTCTAGGTAGGAGTCACACAAACTGCGTGGTCAAGCAGGGCGGGGGCCAAGCCTGGTCAGCGGGATTCAGAGGATCCCTGCTTCTCCCACATGGGTTGTCAGCTTTGTTTCTGAGAAATATGGTGGACATATTTCCTCCTCTCCACAACAGGAAGCGAGATGGCATTCTTCTCTCAAAAACCCTGATTTCTGTGCCCGAGGAGTCCCTTGTGGGGACTAAGATCAACAGGGAAGCTCAGCTTTGTTTTAGCACCAAGTTCTCACCTTCAATCACAGCATCCAGTTATGTCAGCAAGCCACCTAAAGGAAGCATTGCCAGTAGCCCCAGGACCACCATCACACTTTCTGGCATCTAAGAAAAAGACTCCATTCACCATGTCTGAGTTTGAGCAGCTTACCATGTCCTGTGATTAAGAATCCAACCTTGTCCCAGCTACACCAGCTTGTAACCTGCTGACGAGGTTCTCCCAGCTCTGTCAGGGTGGCAGAAGCTGGACAAACAACTGGGTCACAGCACCCTCTGCTGGAGAGGGCAAGGTCCAACACTTTAACAGTCCAGAGCATGGTTCATTTCCTGGGCAGATAGTAGGCCAAATGTTGGAAAAGCAAGAAGAAGAGGGAGCAGCACTGAGTCTTCAGTTTATGTAGACCACAACATATTCCAGAGGAAGTCTAGGGGTATGAGGAGCAACTTGGTGTGAAGAATGAAGCAGAGGAGGCAGTGAGCTCCTGTGAGAGCGCAGTGGAGGAGTCAATAACTGGAGTAGTCAGTGCTGAGTCTCCATTTCTGTAAAGAATGAGGAGTGCAGATGAAGGAGACACTGAATTGGGGGTTGTGGTGAGATGCCCCCAAGATGCTGTACCATGCCTGGGGTAGTGAGCAGTCACGCCCCCTGGCTGCGGTGGGGAGAGGAGGCCCTGAACAGACATAAACTAAACAGTGCTTTTTAGAATTATATTTTAGTTCAATTATGCCTTGGTAAGCAAGATATGTACATTTTATTTTGATCTATCTTCCCTTATCTTTGCCGTGGTCCTGGTATCTGTCTTACAGTGATTATTGGTTGTTGTTCTTTTATTGGAAATAAATGAGATCGACAGACTTGTTTTGCCTGTAGTACTTAGTTCATTTAGTCTAGTTTCTTTATGTAATTTGAATTTAAAATGTTCCAATGAGATGGCAGACCAGACATACTTTTAAAATAATTTATTTATAAAAAAATAAACTTTTTCACATCATATGGAATGTGCTGTATATGTATATAAATTCAGTTTTAATAAGTCAGGCTACAGAATGAGCTGCACTAATGCGGAATTCTTCCCAACTACGAGTGACTTATCTTGGCTCCCCTCCTGTGTGTCAAAGCTCCCTGCTACAGAGTTGGACGATGTCAGTTTAACAAAGAATCACAGCAGTTTGAAAATACATGTCGGCTAATGTGAAACGTCTGTCCAACCACAGGAATATAATATTGTTCTCTTCATGTCTGGCAGAAGGTGCCACTAAGACACCACGAGCCATCAAAAAGTGTCCTTTTTAAGTTGGTAAGTGAACAGCCCCCCTCTCCCAGAATGCACCACTGACAGACATGTTGGTTCCTGGATGGGGGCCGAGTTATCTGTAGAAATAACAGGCAAAGTGGCAGTTGTCCAATTGTGGCTTCTGGCTCTAGTGTTCCACTGCCCTGGACAGCTGTGTGAGTTTTCGCTGGTTGTCGATGACTCTGATGTTCTGGATATACTGCCGCACGGTGGTAGGACTGCGTAATGACAGGGACTGTTCTGAATCTGCATAACAAAAGGGTTACGGAAGTGGGGGAAAAACAAGGTGATAGTATCCTTTGAAATTCATAGCTTAATCGAAATATTACTGTGATCTTGTGCTGGATAAATGGTCATATAAGTTGGTTGAATATACAAATATTTTAAATATCTTTCACAGAATCCTTGTCTTGGCAGTGACAAGAAGCAGCGAATGGTACTCACATGTAGAAACTCGCACAGGACCTGTCTCTAGAAACATCCGCTCAGTCAGGCCCTTCTGTGGGGACGAGGGAACTGCAGAATGTAAAAGCACAGAGACACATGTAGAAAGGGGCTGCCCAGCCCCCCCCCCCCCCCCCCCCCCCCCCCCCCCGGGTGCCAAGGAGGATGCTAACTTTTACAGGACTTACCTGGTGATCAGAAGCTGTCAATCAAAATGCACTCTGGGATTTGTGCTATATTTAAAACAGTGATTCAGTTCTGGAATTCATTATCACCTCTCTAAAGGTTTTCTATTTTAACCATAAGGAATGAATCGGCTCCTGTCTTGTAAGTAATCAAGCGTTTTAAGATTAGACTAACTCATACCTCATGGTAGTGGAATGCCAGGTTATTGCTAAATAAAAACTTGTTCTCATGACTTGTCATCGGAGCTGTCCCAGCCGTCACCCCGGAGTTACTGAATTCTGCATATTTTTCATGCAGCAAATATGTCAAACACGAATGCTATTGTGGCTTTTACCATAGGGCTGGCTCCTGCATCCTCGCACTATCTTCAAGGTCTTGGAAATCATGCGCTGCAAAATGGAAAAGACAAGTAAGGAATTGACGCCATGTTGTGATACAGACTGACTTGTGTTTCTCTTACGCATTTATACAGCAAAATATTACCCAGGAGTATCCATTAAAACAACAATCTTAAAAGCTGTTCTTTCTCTGACCCAGCTTTGTGTCTAACTAAATTACAAATAACTTGTATTGATTGTATTGTATTGAAGTATTGATGTCACATGACAAAATGAATATGCTGAAAAAATGTAATAATCCGTTACGACATGTTTCAACTACTTTTTTTGATTAATATTACTTAATCCCACTTTCTTGCGAATACTGGATACAAGCCTAAATTTGATTTGGACAAGTATCACCTATGGGTAGATTTTAGGCAGTAAGTTACCATTTTCTCAAAATTGATCAAGTTCTCAGTGTAGTTCTTGTTTCCTTCATGGATGAAAGTCATGTCTACGAAAAGGAAAAGGAGACAAAGAGTTGGCAGTACCCAGACACCTTCTACATTTTTTACCTTTTACAATTTACATATTTACATAAAATCTGATACAGTCGATAAAATATTTAAACAAACATATCACCGGATTTTTTTTTTCTCAGTGGTTTTTAAATTCTGAAAGGGTTTAAGGAAGAACTGTTGATCAAAGATATCTAAATGACAACAATTCTTTCGGTTTCTGTTTGTCTGTACAATTGTTTCTTTTTTGTTTGTGATAGTATTCATTTAAACATGGAAAGTTACTCATATCTGATTCCCTAGATTGAATCAAGTCAGGAAGGAAATGTCACTTGTTTAAAGCCAAAAATGGCTACAATGATCCTCTTTACTTTATGTACATAGAGAACACTTTGATTGAATGGAATGGATCCCAAGTCAATTGGGATGACATAGTAATAATTCCATTGTAGGAAGGGCACAGATGAAGCCCAGAGCCCCAGCCCTGAGGTGTGACTACATGGGAATGTTTTTGTAAGTTTTGCAAAAGCCACAAACACACAAAAAGTTCAGTAGCTCATAAATGCACTAAATACATGTAGAGTACTAGTTTGGAGGACGTCAAACGTGTTAACGGCAGCTTCAAACGTGATATCTTGCGTGAGATACATCACTAACACCCGAGATGTGGAAAGGTCAATTGTAAATATTATTATATAGTATATAAACCAACTTAAATTTAGATAGAGGACTATATAATTATACTGTAATACAGATGTTAGACAGTGGTAGGTTGCTTTGTCGTATGCTTAGATGCCTAAGCCTTGTTACCTTTGAGCAGAAGAGGCATGAAGGGGATGTAGGGAGGACTCAGTTTGGCTACAGCGAGCCTGTAAGGTCTGTGATTACGTGACGGATCCTGAAAGAAGCACGCACAGCTGTAAGACATCTTTTAATACGTCTTTTAATACTTAAAAATGATTCAAATTTACTACAAAATAGCATTTCAGCCACACGTCAATTTAAATCCCAAAGTTTAAACACATAGGAAGGTCTGTTTGGCAAGAGTTTTGCTAAGAGCTGCATTTATTATTTGTGAACATTGCTTACCATTAATCTTTCATTAGCACAATAGATCCGTCTGGTCTTGCTCGGCACTCTCTGTGAAAAAGACAGTTTGTAAGGGTCTGTATCTGGGCCGTTGAAAACCTACACAGGCCTTGGTTTGACTCTCCTCTAAACCTGATCAGCATGTTAAACAGTTGCCTTTTCAAAGTCTGAACAGCGGTCACCAAAAATACCCAGAGCACAATCTCAAACATAGTACACCAGTCATGCAGTAAAATGTGGATGTTGTGTGGACATTATAAGCATGTTCAGCATTATAGACAGCATCCATAGCTGTGCCGGTCATAAACACCCAGGAGTGCGCACCCCCCCCCCCCCCCCACGGCCCTGAGCTCTTACCTCCCATGTCTTAGTCAGCCTCTGCACTGCACTGTTACTGAGCCCAAACATCACTGCAAAGAAGGAGTTGAGATTCTTCTGCTCCTTCAGACTGTTGTGGGACAATCGGGAGGTATCCACCATGCAAAGACAAATATAAACCACTACGTTTACTTAAACCATTTACTAGTGTGGTTATAAAAAGGTCACGCACTTCAGGAACATGAACAGTTAGGGAACATTAATGGTGTCGAAATTACATCCATAAGGATCCACAGCTACCTTTAACTGTCTATACCACTGCTAGTTTAACTACAATAATAACAGGATTAGGAAGAGCAGAACTCATGTTTTTAAAAATATGAGTAGTGTAGCTTGCAGAGAGCCAATGAATATCCTGCACTTGTTTTTTTGGACACAGTCACGGCTTGCTGCACAGTGTACATTTATGACAACCCCTGTTGGAGACCCCTGGTCATCACACAAATCGGAAATAGTGAACGGGGAGTTTTATTTTGGTTACGTTTGGTGATAATTCATATTGGCTGCTTTTCTTGATGGCTGTTTAGCGACGGCTGCTTTCGGCCCCGGCAGGGTGAGCCAGGGACACTCACACTATGGCTATCTTGATGAACTTCTTGAGCAGCAGGGCCCGTTTCTGCAGGTCAGCACAGAGGCACAGCTCAGTCACCACCCAGTTCTGGAGCTCGTTGAAGCGCCTGACGAATCGCTCCAGGTTGGCGGTGGTGGAAGTCGGGAACCGGTGTCTGCCGAAAATGTAGTAGACCAACTCCACCTGAGGACAGAAGATGCGGGTCAGTAGAGCTGGGGGGGAATGCAGGGGGGGGGGGGCACTGCCGGCTGTCCAAGTTATATGATGATACAGGCACAAGAAAATTTCCCAGACTCGCTGGCGGCCACCTGTGTCATTGTGTCGTGTCAGTATCTGATGGACACACGGAAGTTTATCAGATCCTGACTTCCAGTGAACACATGCTTCTGGTGCCTCATGTGATGTGAGTCACTGCGCATTTTTAACATTCACGCCCCCCCCCCCCCAAGTGGCGCCTGCCGGCCCTGTGTGTCTGCCTGGACCCACCCACCTCATGTACGGCACCAAACAGCTCCCAGTCGTAGTCACTAAGCTGGCCGGCGATGTCCTTAGAGCTCATTTGCTCCAGGGAGTCCATGGTTCCCTGCTCCAGGCCGAGCTGATCCTTCAGGGGCGTCTGTCAAGGCCAAGGTCTGAGTCAGCGTCTCATTCATCTACTATCCCTCATATTCCAACACGAATCTTTGCCTGTTTAGCAGTTATTTCTCCACTGTGCTCTGCAATTAACTAATTAAGAACTGTACCTGTGTATTGCAATTTAGCAAACTGCAGGTTGTTAATTAAAGGTTCATTAAACTTCTTTGAAAAATATTTTGGAGCAGGAAGTGGACTGATGCTGCAGAAAAAAAAAATCTTGTGTCCGAAATTATCGAACATCTTAAATGTTTTTCAATATTCTGAAGCTCTGATTTGAATATGGCATAATACGTAAATGACACTTTCAGCAGTAAATTTTTATGTGGTCATCACTCTAGAATTAAAAATGTCTGAATTCCACTAGAAGAACTCCACTTGCGATTTGCATTTCATTGGAGTTGCATTTCAATTAACCCATTGTAAGTGGAAAATATTGTGAGTTAAATATGAATTTGACATGATATATAAATAAGTCAATAAATGAGTACTGTCACTGAATAAGTAAATAAATAATTACTGTAATGAAATACCAGTAACTGAAAAGTAAATCAAGTTTATTTGGTTAAACAGAAAAAAACTGCGTAAGACATTTATGCTCGTGATGGCTACAGAGACTGGATGCATGGTTACGTGGATGCTGCCATCACTCAGAACCAGTAGAAAGTATCAAACACATCACTAGCCTGCGAACAGATCAAAATTCAAAGACTACTGAATGTGCTTGGTTATCGCACCATCGTAGAGTCGAAATATCGCAAGTCAAAGAATCGCAAAGCGAGTAGCATCTGTCGTATAAATGGTAGAAGCAAAAGTCAAGCCCACCAGCTGGTCCACCTGAGAGGAGGTGCAGAGGAACAACCTTTCATTGATGCCCAGCGAGGTGAAGACGGCTGTGGCATCCAGCTTGAGCTGAACCCTGTCTGAGATACACATATGCACTAAGCTTCACGCTCATTTGTAGTCAAGCAAGTACAACCAAACATTAACTGTGTTTAATATCATAACTTGTAGTTCCTGTAAGATACAAATATAATTCACTGGAGCATAGTACAGTGGATTAAGCTACAACCAGCATTTAAACATGTTCCGCTCACCAGTATTTGGAAAACTAATACCACCTAACTCTCAAACATATTACCACAAGTCAGTGTTACTCTTTACTATTACTATAGATATTTCCTACCTCCAGCTGAGTTCATATTCACCAGGACATGGTCTCCATCGGGACCAACCAAGGACGACATAATGTCCTGAACAGTGCTATTTACTGGGAGCATCAGAGTGATGCAGTTATGATCTGGACGGAAGATTTCATACAGCACTATAAGAGAGTGAAAAAGGCCAGGGTCAGTCACCACGACCTCATGTTCATACGACCAAAAACACTGACTTGAAAAGCTACTCAGATGTTCACTTCGCAAATCCTAGTAGGTGTGTAAGTAACGGCACCAGAGGGAAGGTAGATACACCTTTATCGTGTGCTTTAATTGGCTGAATTCTTCCTGCAGGCTCCTCGTGATTGGAGAACCAGTCAAACTGCTGGTTGAACTGCTAGGAGAAAATGTAGAAAAGGCAATGCTGGAAAAAGTGAATATAGCTTTTAAAAGTCACCAAGAGACACCAAATACAAGATAGAGGGCAAAATATTGCAGTTAAGAACACATATGTGATGCTGCTAAACACAGAAAGTAGTTCAAGGAGCAATTCAAAAACTGCATTAAATATAAAAATATTACTGCTCTGACCATTATGTACTTTACCTTGTTTTCCAAAATTATAGTATTTAGTTTGGGCCCCTGAATCATTTTAAGTCTGTGTTTCTCAACCCGGTCCTTGGGGACCCCAGATGGTCCACATTTTGCTCCATCCCAGCTCCCTGCCATATAGTTCATGTTTTTCCTCCCTCCCAGCACAAAAACGTGGACTACCTGGGATCCCCAAAGACAGGCTTGAAAAACACTGATTTGGGTCAGATGATTTGATCTATACTGCCCTTGTCGAATCATTCATTCAGACTTGTTGATTTCAGCTTCCACATTCCTGGACCAATCTACCTTTCCACATTTCAACTGGCTTCAGTCATTATACACAATGAAAAATACAGGTTAAAGGCTTCACTATTTATTATCTGTTTTGTTAAAGAAATTAAGAAGACAAATAACAAATGTTTACCAACCTTTGACAATGTTTGGTATCCATTCTCAAGCCTGAGAGGGAAATTGAAAAAATACAGAGCTGATTTTATTTTCGCTGACAAGCGTCTTACAAAGCTGTGGTTCTGACTGCTTCTCCGCACTGATCACTGCAGCTTATTTCATGCTAAAGTGTCCTGAGTATGGTTACTCACACACGGGTCCTCCTCCGGTCCCGGAACTGCTCCTTCAGCATGCTCAAGAGCCGCGAGTCACTTATCACTTCTGCTTTCAGCTTCTGTGGGGGTGGGGGGGGCAGGTGTGGGGTCAATGAGCGCACCCAGAGAATGGGGGCAATGGGGCACGAGTCACTGCGTGTAACCAACTGCAGGAGGTGCACCAGTGCTTAACCAACAACAACAACAACAACAACAAATAATTTATTTTTGTATAGCGCATTATCACAACATTACATCGTCTCAAAGCGCTTTACAGCATCCCCACCCAAAGCCCCCAGTGAGTAAGCCATAGGCGACAGTGGCAAGGAAAAACTCCCTAGAAGGAAGAAACCTTGGGAGGGACCAGACTCAAAGGGTCAGAATTAAGTCGCAAGCTTAATAGTCTTCTGATAATTTCCAAACCCCGACTGATTAATCACCTTCGCAAGCACCAACCCACGATCTTAAACAACTGCAGATTACCAGGAGGTGCACCAGTGCTTAAACAACTGCAGATTATCAAGAGGTGCACCAGTGCTTAACCAACTGCAGATTACCAGGAGGTGCACCAGTGCTTAACCAACTGCAGATTACCAGGAGGTGCACCAGTGTTTATCCAACTGCAGATTATCAGGAGGTGCACCAGTGTTTATCCAACTGCAGATTACCAGGAGGTGCAGCACTGAACTACATGCCTCCATGACTTGCTAATTAAACAGGGTACATTCCCATTTCAGGGTATGAGGACTTTTGTTTTTTGTGTACTTCCATGGAATTTCCCTCCAGTGTCCTCCCACGTTCCAAAGACTTGCACTGTTGACACAGTATGTGATCACATGACTGACTGTGCATGTGTATAAGAGCATGTGACTGAGACAGCCCTCCCCCATGTCCTATATATATCACCCAGAAAGCATCTCCAGGACTGTAAGTAGACAAGTTGTACCTCAAAATGTATTAATAATTGGTTACAATTTCCCCCCCTGTAACCTACTTACAATAAAATTGATGATAAATAAATGAGCAAATATAAGGGTATAACTTCAGTGAAGACCTGTGCTCCTGACCTCTGCTAACCCAGGTGTACCATAAAGGTGGGGCAATTAGGACAATCCCAAGGCCCCCTGAGCAACAGGGGCCTTCAAAAATTTGGAACATAATATGATTGGTCTGGACTGGGGCCCCAATATAATGTGCTTTCATGGTGACAAAATCTCTAAGAACATCCCTGCCCTCACCTCTAGGAATTCCAGAACGTGAGGGTCTTCTCTGAGGACCTGGCCACACAGCAGCACCCACTGGCTGACCAGGCGAATGATCTTCTGCTTCCTGTTGAGGGAGTAAGCTGCTTTCTCCAGCTCTGAGCCTTCCGAAGGCTCTGCATGGTAAGTAGGGGCACTGTTAAGGAGAGCGTGTTTGCTGTGTTAATGTCACACTACTGCAGGCTGCAAGCACTACATGCTAAACATGCACATAATTAGCCTTAGTGTAAATCCATTTAAAATGAACGGGAGTGTAAGACTCTTTCAGTATGTGTAGGAATGATATATTATGTATCATTTGTAGAAGTACATAGAAATGTTTGGGTTTTCACATATATCCCATCATCCTCTTCTCTGAGACATCATGGGATGTGAAGAGGTGACATTTCGATTAGAGGCACAAAGTGCTAACCCACAGAGAGCCAGGCATTACCTACATGAGCATAGGAACATGTGTGTCTGTAGATAACTCGTCCGCAAATGTATCTCTGGCCAATGAAATGTTTTCCGTGTGATAGATATGTCTGTTTTCCTACTGTCTTAAGTGACGATGAATCTTGAATCTCAAGTAAATCTTGAATCTTGAAATCCTGACTTAAGTGCTCTTTAAATAGGAGAGCTTGCATATTTCACGAGCTGCACATGTCACGTTAACAGGGTGTTTTAAAAAATCTTTTTACATAAAATAGCTTTCATCCAGCCCAGCTTTGAGCTGAATTTGCTCCATCTGACAGGTAGTCAAAGGTTTTCAGCCTCTGAGTACAGAGAGGCTGAATGTGATGAGCTGCTGAAAGGATATTGATGCTGTAGGGCTTCACAGAGCTGACTGGAGGGCATGAAAACTCTGTGAGTTAAGAGAAAGTCGGTTATGCAGGAATCTGTGGAGACAGAAAACACATATCTGACTAACTGGGACTAACAGGACCGATTGTTGTTTACTTAGATCTTCCCAGAAGACTGTAAATGAATCTGAATCATCTTATCGCTGCTTTTAGAATAATAATAAGAGAAAACTTGGCTCAGAATATTTAACTCTTCATTGTCTTTTTCTTCCTGCTCTCTGTGCTATTATAAGATAAAACATCTGACAAACTGGCGTTTTTAATATATATAACAATAATACAGTCAACTCAGCATCTCAACAAGCACAGAGTAAGAGTAGAATCTAGTATTAGACCAGTGTTTCGCAAAACCGCTGGACAAGACACAATGTGCGATGGCACTGTACTCACCTGTAGCATCAATGCCGTAAGTGTCTAGCCTCACACTCTCCAGCAGGTGCTCCAAGATCTTCTCTGGCGTTCCTGACATCACAGTGTACCTGCATCACAATAAAAAAGTAATTATCATTACATACTTAATTATTTTAGAAAATAAAATGTTAAAATATTTTTTAAATATTGTCATTCTATTTTTACACTGGCCTTTCATGTTTTGTTTTTTATTTAATTTATTCGTATTTTATTTATTTTCATGTTTTGTTTGGAATGAGTGACTTAGTAGCCTGGTCTGACGCATAATGGTGTTTTACTTGTTACTTCCTGAAGCTCCGTGATTGGCCGATTCGCTCCCGGAACTCTTCTCTAGAACCAGCACCACCTTGCCGTGCTCCTCTAGGCGCACCGTGTTGGCCTCGACGTCCTGGAACACGCCCGTGGTGACGCACGTGAGACGTCATATAACGGGATGCAGAACATCTCACAGGAGTATGTCGGACGGTGATGACATGAAGCTCTGAGCCTGCAAACCTTGAGGATCCGTATGAAGTCCTGCTTGTCCACACGCAGGAAGTGGCAGCAGTCCTCCCGCAGGATGATGGTGGCCGCTCGGGGGGCGTCGTTCACCACTGCCAGCTGCCCAAAGTCGTCACCTTCATGCAGCGTGGTCACCAAACCCTGCGTAATGTCACCAGATGTAAAAGAATGCTGGCAGTAACTGCAATGTGCTATGGATCTGTGTGTGTGTGTGTGTGTCTGTGAGTAAGTTTATATTACATTGTGGGGACCAAATGTCCCCCACAATGTAATAAAAACTTGTTTGTTTTTTTTTTAACGCTGTGGGGACCATTTTTCAGGTCCCCAGAAAGATCTGTGAATGCAATTTAAAAAGTCTCGTATTTTGTTTGGTTACTTATGGTTAAGGTTAGGGCTGGGTAGGGGTTAAGGTCATCATATTGGGATTGGAGTTTTCCCCATAGAAATGAATGGAGAGTCCCCACAAAGATATAAGTACGGACCAGTGTGGTGTGCGTGTTTGTGTGCATGTATGTGTGTTTATGTGTGTGTAATTCTACAGGAAGACTATATCCTTTAGAACTGAAGGAGATCTAAAGATACTCCAGTTGTTGCCTTCCTCAGATAATTACTGAGTTCCTTACCTTCCCATGTGTGATTACATTAACAGAGCCCTTCCAGATGATGTACCAAGAGGTTCCCTTGTCTCCTTGGCTGAACACTGCAAATACACATGGACCAGTGTTATAGACGGTCTAGGATTTATAATCATTACCAAGACACTCGGTTTTACACTGTAGCTGGAACAGGACCAAGCAGATAGATCAGACACAAAAAACGGGCCTAATTACTGCAGTGCATAGAGTCAATGGATTAGCATCCTTCTGTTAACAGAAGACTCATGAATTAAAACATCACAGTTCTGGTTGCACTCACAGACAGTGCCAGCTTTGGCGTGTGATTCAAACAGCAGCACGGCTGCCAGCTCCTTCCGCACCTTCGGGGAGGAATGACGCAGAGGACTCGTGTCAGTCTGGGGGCGGCCGTGACGGGGCTGCAGACGGGCAGCCGATGGGCACTTACTGAGCTGGACAGGTGTGCGACCGCCTTGACGTGGAGTAGCTCCTCGTAGATGACCTCCAGGTCCTCTGCACTCCTCTGGCTGGGGCTGCGGCACACACAGCAGGGAATAAGGGAATGGCACTTCTCATGGCACTGCATGTATGATTAGTGGTGGACAGTTCAGGTCCAGAAAGTACAAATCCAGACCAAGGTTTTGTTTCAACCAACCAGTTGAGTATAAAGAGTCACTATCACAGAGTACTCAACCTTGGCCTGCATTTGCACTTATGGATATGGTTCACTTGAACATGACACTGAACTCCCCCCTCCCCCTTACTGCACTATATGGCTGAAAATATGTAGACACCCCTCTTAATTGGATGATTGTTTCCAAACCTGGTCCTCAGAGACCCACAGAAGATCACATTTTTACTCCCTCCCAGCTGAAAGAAAAACACGGAGTGCCTGCAGGTCCCCAAGGACCGGACTGGGAAACACTGAATCACAGGAATTGCCTAATAAAACCACACACAGGTGCATAATTAAGCACTCAGTCACGTCATCTCCTGCGGCAGAGTGAATGGTTGTACAGAAGAGGTTAGTTACTTTCCATGAAGTCTGCCACATTTCTGCCCTACCCTGGTCAAATGCAAATGAAGTGATTGTGATGTGGAGGCATCTGGGAGCAAGCTCACAGAAAGGGACCAGATCACCCAGCATCAATACCCAACCGGGATGGCAGCACATCCCACCAGCAGTGTCCTAACACCTAATGAAAGCTTTCCCTTAGAGTAGAGGCTATTATAGCAACAATGGGCTGACTAACCTCATTAATCTCCTTGGTTTCGGAATGAGATGCTGGACAAGCTGGTATCCACATACTTTTGGCCATATAGTGTATGAGTTGTAAAAATATTTCAAGGGGAATAGTGGGTTAGGGTTGCCACTCTCAAGTGGAAGAAATAAGGAAGAGGTGAAATCACATGGTCCGCATTAAACTTCAGTTGGGATACAAAAACATGAATAACTATCCAGTTTTGGTTGAAACTGGGACGCAGCGTTTTATTTTTCAATATGGGGCTACCACATAAAATGGGACGGGCGGTCACTGTAACCTTTAACTTTACGTGAGTGAAATTACTCAGAACAGTTTATGGGGTGGTGGGGAGGAGGGTATATTTTTAAAGGGGATTATTTTTTCCCACGTGGGGGTGGGGGGTGGGGGGTCATCCACATGCATTGACAAACGCACTGGCATTATTTTTCCTTGTGCCCTGTGCTTCTGGGGATAGGCTGCAGGCTTGCCACAGCCCAGCATTAGATAGCCCAGCATTAGATAGCCCAGCATTAGATAGCCCATTATGAAAAAATGGATGGATGGATGGCTGGCTGGCTGGCTGGCTGGCTGGCTGGATGGATGGATGGATGGGGAGTAAGGATGTGCCAGGCAGTGTGAGGATTTCATTAGCTTGTGCAACGTGACACTTCGCTTTATGACTTATCATTTTTGTAAGGCACGTCAGATAAAAGCACTGGCTAGCAAAATATATCAAGACTCGTGTCGCAGTTTTTCTGCATCTTCAAAAGGCCACTTTAAATGACAAGGAGCAGGTTTCTGAGATTATGAACCTGTTGCCATGGATGCATAAGTATGCGAGCATAAGAGGGCCAATCAGCAGCAACTATGGGCTGCATTTCCATGGACTATGTCTCTTACCATTTGCGCAGAATCATGGTGAGTAGAGCATCAGGGCCCATCTGGACCAGCAGCGACAGGCCTTCCTGGAGCTCCTCTTCCAGGTCCCTCTCATTGCTGGTGTGACTCAGACCGAATTCTGCCTCCTGGAATCGGTAAAACTGGCATTCTCTGTCATGGAAGTTCAACTCCTGTTTCACTGAAGTGAGAGGAGCGGTTGTGTTAAAAAATAAACATTCACATTTACGTTGATTTAATTAAACGTCATGTGCTGAAGCAGCAGCACTGCGACCCCAAGCTGGTGTGCTTACCGTGAACGACAATTCCTTCATCGACCAGCACCTGCCAGATTCCCACTGCCTGGTTGCGTGAATGGACAGAGCCGCCTTGGGTCATCAGCCAATCCACAAGCTCCTTTCCTGTGGAGCATTGTCTGTAAGACGAGAGAAGTGAAGAATGTGAACATACAGAACATGGCTAAAGTAGAGGAGTCCATTACTGGCCCTCTGGGGAGGTTAACTGTGGAGCAGGATGGGAATTAGTGCAAAAACATGATGTTAACATGAAGATCATGAGAACAGACATTGAAAGGAACCTAAAGGAAGAACGGAATGCATGAAATATCGATAATCTTTTCCACAGTGAGAGGTGCATGACCATAATCACCAAGGCTTCATGACTGATGTGGATCCTATGTCTGGTGTTGCTTGGTATTTCAATCTTTTGAATGTTCTAGCCACAACAGCAAAACATTTCACATGTTGAGAAAGATGCAGCTACGTCCTCAGTGAAGGGTAACTGAGGTTCTGCAGAATAATTGTCCTCCACAGGATTCTCAAGTACATGCGTATTTTTAATAGCAGCAGAAACGTGAAGGCCCAAAGTGAGAATCACAGGAACGTACACCGGGGGCGCTGCTCTGTGATGTGTAGCCCTTAGTACCTGCGAGTCTGTGAGAGTCGGTAAGTCTGGAGGTTCCACAATGACTGCGGACACATCTCTCTAGTTTGGCGTGGCTTAGGTTATTGAAGTGAAACATTTCATCACTGCCCTGATGGTCTTGATCACATGGGAATGGTCACACCTTCCAGGGTGTGATGGTAAAATGCATACAGAGCTGATTTTCCCAATAAGTAGTTAAGCCAGATACATATGGCCAAAAATATGTGGCCATCTATATTAATTAGAGGAATTGCCTAATCAAACAACACCCATTGCTGACACAGTGTATATTTATGCACACAATCTCCTGCAGCAAACATTAGCAGCAGAGTGGGTGGTTGTATAGAAGAGCTTAGTGACTTTCCACCTTTACACTTGGCACCAGTATAGGATGCCATCCTTCCAACAAGCCAGTTCGCTACATTTCTGCCCTGTTAGAGCTGCTCTGGTCAACCGCAAGGGAAGTGGTCGGTCACACAAAGGCACAGAAAGGGACCAGATCACCCAGCATCAATACCCAACCTGGATGGCAGCACATCCCACCAGCAGTGTCCTAACACCTAATGAAAGCTTTCCCTTAGAGTAGAGGCTATTATAGCAACAATGGGCTGACTAACCTCATATTAATTCCCTTGGTTTCGGAATGAGATGCTGGACAAGCTGGTATCCACATACTTTTGGCCATATACTGCATATCTTCTACAAACCTTGAAACTACACAGACGTCAGTGCCTTTCTGGAACTTTGAGGGGACTTATCTATGATTGATTTTAAGTCTCTATTTAAGGACCAGCTGACGTATTGCTGGAAATATTATTTTTTCCAACATCATCACTGAGCACCGCTCTTATCTTAGTTCCCACTGAAATTTCTAGAAATACTCCACTCCACACAAAACCATCAATCATCAAAGAAAACCATTCATATACGGCTAGTCGTGGGTGAAAAACTACAAATAACCACAGTAAAACCCCAATATAACCAGAATATAAGATTATACAGAAACCTAGACAAAGAACTGCAGAATGCATTTATGATGGAACAAACAGCTACAGTACCTGTAGTTCTTGAGGTGATACTTCCTGTCTCTGATCAGAGCAGGACTACGCTCTATCAAAGCGTTACAAACTGCCCTGCCTGCCTTCAGTATACGATCTGAAAGGAACTGAGAGGGAGAGAGAAGAGAAACAGGCAGTTATTTACAAAGAGAGATCGAAAGAAACACAAATGATGAGAACGATATGCTTTGTTTGACAACAAGTCACACAGGAAATCCCACCTTGTTCTGCATTAAAATGTCTGAATGAGATCAATCAGAATGTTTATAGAGAAATGGATGGCCATTCAACACCAAAGTACAAGAATAACAGACCTTTGTGAACTTTTCAGAATATTTGGACAGATAATTGTTTCACCATCAAGTCAGTTCTGTCCAATTCACCTACAGGAAGAGTAACAGGCGCAAGAGGATACTGCATCGCCACAGTGCTGGGTGACACACTGAGCAGCGGGCGATACACTGAGCGGCAGGTGATACACTGAGCAGTGGGTGATACACTGAGCAGTGGGTGATACACTGAGCAGTGGGTGATACACTGAGCATTGGGTGACACACCGAGTGACGGGTGATACACTGAGCAGCGGGTGATATACTGAACATTGGGTGATACACTGAGCATTGCGTGACACACCGAGTGACGGGTGATAAACTGAGCAGCGGGTGATACACTGAGCATTGGGTGACACACTGAGCAGTGGGTGATACACTGAGCATTGGGTGACACACCGAGTAACGGGTGATACACTGAGCAGCGGGTGATACACTGAACATTGGGTGATACACTGAGCAGTGGGTGACACACTAAGCGGTGGGTGATACACTGAGTGATAGGTGATGCACTGAGCAGCAGGTGATACACTGAACATTGGGTGACACACTGAGCAGTGGGTGATACACTGAACATTGGGTGACAAACTGGTGATATACTGAGCGGCGGGTGATGCACTGAGCGACGGGTGACACACTGAGCGACGGGTGACACACTGAGCATTGGGTGATACACTGAGCATTGGGTGACACACTGAGCGACGGGTGATACACTGAGCATTGGGTGATACACTGAGCAGCGGGTGATACACTGAGCAGCGGGTGATACACTGAGCATTGGGTGATACACTGAGCATTAGGTGATACACTGAGCATTGGGTGATACACTGAGCATTAGGTGATACACTGAGCATTGGGTGATACACTGAGCGGCAGGTGATACACTGAGCATTGGGTGACACAAAGAGCTGTAGTGATGTCATTTTTGTCACCAAAGGTTTGGTGCTGACACTGCGCTGGGGGGCCATGCGCAAGGGTGCGTACCACTCGAAAACTGAAACAACGCAGACGGCCCATTCAGTAACTCGTCTTGGTCGTTCATTGGCCAGTGGAAAAGTACCAGGAAGTCACAAAGTAGTCGGACCAAAGATTATATATAAACACCTTTTCTGTGATCAGAATGATAACAAAAATGGGTAGCAGATTTGAAAAACGGTTGGCTATTGAAGTCCAGAAATACCGGTATTTATAAGATTTATATGATTACAAAGACTCCCAAATCGTTGCAAACTAAAATAAAATAAGTCTGTAACTTCAACACCATATGTTCTGGTACACTGTGAGTACATAATGCAAATAATTACTTTTAATATACCATTTGTATCAAACTTCATAAACAAGCCGCTTTGCTCTGCAGTGCCACCCCAGGCCTGGCATCAAAGTACACGACTGCCAGGCGCAAGAAGTAAGCACATCCAGGAAAGTGGATGGTACTGCATTACGGCGCCCGCACCCACAGTAAGCATGAACCAGCCTTCTCTCTAGCCGACCCCCTCCCTCCCTCCCTCCCTCTCTCCCAGACTTACTACAAGCTTCTATGCTTGGCTTGGGAGTTTACTGGTAACTCGCAAAGCTGTTTATTTCCATTCACCACATCCACCAGCAAAGCGTTACAGTGGTATAGTGGTTAGCACATCTGCCCTGATCTGCAGTCGGACCCCTTCCTGTTTCTGAAGCCCTATCAGCCTCACTTATACAGTACGTTGCTTCGGACAATAGTGGCATCTAAATCAGTGTTTCCCAACCCAGTCCTTGGGGATTCCCGGACAGTCCACGTTTTTCCTCCCTCCCAGCTCCCAGTCAATCAGGAACACCGAATACCTGGTACAGGTGCGCTGGGAGCTGAGAGGAAGCAAAAACGTGGACTGTCCGGGGTTCCCCAAGGACTGGGTTGGGAAACACTGATCTAAATAAATGTTTCCCAAAGGAGCTTTGGGATTCACACCAGGTGTTACAAAAAAAAAAAAACCTATACACTACCTGATCTTGTCCCTCTCATGCCCCAAAGAGATAAACAAGCCCCAAGGCAACTTTTCCTTCTTTTACAGAAAAACCTCATACATCTTCTATATGTCTTATAAAGATTATAGAAGCAAGGCCCAAGCCACTGTGCTCCTTGTAAAAGCATGTCTGTGAAAAACACACATAAACTGAGTGCTGACATTCGCTTGCATTCCCCATTTTTCCCACCATTCTGCATGTCGTACGGAGAGGCAGCTATAAACACAAGCCCGTTTTCGCTGAACCACAGTCATCGCCGCTGACTCCATTCCTTCCGTCATGCCACCACTCTCACGGTGTCCGTCAGCGCTGTGCAAAATTATTCGACACCCTGTAATGAACTGCTCTGCTCTTTAGACTACTAGGAAAAACTGGAGCGTTGTAAAGGCCAAATCGGTTCATTCGAGTTCATTTTCCCAGACAGAGGGTGTAGACGGAAACTGCATCTTTAATGAAGTCTCCCGTCTCCTCGGTCAGCCTCTGTGCGCCTTTTTCTAAAGCTCCATGCAGTTTATAGATGCGTCATAAGCCCATGCTGAATATGACACGATGACATCGGGAATCATAAGGGTCGGCCGGTCTCCCATTTTGCGTGCCCAGACCCTGTCACTGTACCCTTGCAGCAGTCCCCTAGCTGTCTACCTTCTTGCCGTCTTGGACCACACCATCTGGCTGCGCAGAGGTCAGGGCTACTTCCATCATCGCCATGGGAACAGCCCGAGGCGTTCTCAGGAGCACTCTCCCGAGAACCGACAGTGACACGTCCCGCGGGCCAGGCGGTGCCAAACAGCGCTGGCCCAAAAGGAGCATCTCGCCTTGTCTAACGCATCTAATAATGAACTCTGATGAATTACACCACAGGCAGGGTTGTCAACAGAAAAACAAAAGGAGCTTTTCTGCTGGCAAGAAGCTTTCAGTTTCACATTTGGGTGAGATGAGGCCAAGCAGCCTTTTAGGTGAGCTTTATAGAACATAAGCTCCCTCCACCACTGAGATGAAGGAAGGGTTCCTCGTTCATTCCACCAAAATCAGCCTTCCCTGTCGTTTAAGCACGCGTTTTGACAGGTTGCTGTGAATTAAAGCAGCGTTTTCCAATCCGGTCCTTGGGGGACCCTCCGAGCTCCCTGCCAGACAGTCCACAATTTGTGGCAAAAATTTGTGTCTCTGGGTCCTCGAGCACCGGATTGGGAAAAGCTGAATTATAGACATGGTCATCCAGAGCGTGGGATGCTCAGAATGAGCTCATCACAGGGATTGTCTAAAAAGCTTGTTTAATCCCCGTCAAATGTATAAACTCTTTTTCCACTTGCACAGTCTCCAAATTTGGCCATGAATTTCTGTGATGAACGACACTGGGCCAGAGTCGCCAAGATCTTGGATTTTTTTTTAGTACTTCTATTTCTGGCGACAAGTCTGAATCACCTGCATTTGCTGCTTAACATGAACTCCTAAGCATGAGAACAGAGGGGGCGTGGCTTATGCTGTGGTTTAGGTGATGCTGTGGTTGGGCGATAATCGTGGGCCGTGAGTGGGGGGGGGGGGTTTCCATTATGCACGGAGAGTCAATAAAAACCAGACAAGTGGAATAATGATCACTGTTGTTTCAAATGCTAGCATTTTTAAATGCAGTCTTGTAGCCAAGAAATAAGAAGAAATAAACATGGTTCACTGAGCTTCTCTACAAAGGGTGCATGCTCTGTGGCACAGCAACCTTCCCACGGGACCCGGAAAGTTCCACACCGAGTTTCACATCAGATGAATGGTTGGGGTGGACTAAAAAAAAAAAAGTCACATAACTGTAAGCATCCAAATATTTTTATTACGTATTAAATGGCGTGGGAGACACTTACACAGGGTAAATTGCTTATTTGCAGCCAATGGGTTTTATACTGACTCTTTGGATAAAAGCACCAGTTCGGCCTGCACTGTAAGTATGGCAATAAAGCACACCACAGTAATGTCCCAGTATTTAAACATTCAACCCACTGTTTGCAAGTCCAATTACTTAACCGCCATTTTAAAAGGCCGCCCAGCTCCACAACCTTTTTAATCTGGGAGCAAAGAGCTTCCTGCTGCTCTGGGACAGTCAGCTGCACGCTGAAGCCCTGCTCTGATCTCAGTGGTGAGAAGGATCTCAGGTCTTAAAAGACAGTGTTATTCTTTATATCTTACTGTCAATTTCATGCAAGCAAAACTAAACTGCATTTCCTATGAATACAGTGAAGGTGCTCAAATAGAATAAACACATTTATTTAATTGTATTTAGGCTCCAGACCCCATGTGACACTGAAAATGGATGGATGGATGGATGGATTTAACTGTATCGAGATGAAATTACTTGATAGTTGTGAACATGTGTCAAAAGTCCACTTTTAAAAATGAACAAACAACCATTAGATTTCAGAGGGCAGGTGTAAGATGAAACATTAAGCTTTAACTACAACACAAAAGAGCCCCGATATGAAGCTGCTTTCCCCCTCTGAGCCACACCGGTCCTCTGGCCTTCACTGGCTCCTCCAAAAAGCACAGCGGCATGCAGGAAACAAAACACTGCAAAAGTAAAGTGCATTCCAGGGCCAACTGCAAGCAAATTAAATTTACTCCTTCAGTTTAAATCACTGTAGTCCCCCCCCTTCTGTTCTCACAGGTCATACCCATAAAAGCAGCTTTATAAAAAATGGCCTGTTTCACTGGGACCTGATTTTATGAGCAGGGCTGTGGAGTCGGAGTCGGAGTCGAGGAGTCGGAGTCGGAGACAATTTTGGGTACCTGGAGTCGGAGTCGGCAAAAACTTAACCGACTCCGACTCCTACTAAATTTAAATGGGAATTAAAAAAGTAAGTTGAAATGTCCCAATTCACAAACAGTCATAATGAACTACTTCTCTGCTGTAAGAATAAAGCCCAGTGCATGCAGTGCATAATGTTACCACAAAACGAACATGTCAAGTAACCATGAAGCATGCTTTTCATTGACTGTATGCGTCACTATATGGGATGTAATGCACAGGTAAGGTGCGGCACCGCTTTCCATTGTGTCGTGTTCCACTGTTACAGGGAACTGTGAACCTAGCCTAAAGCCCCCCATACATTTACAGATGCACTGCCGACTTTTCGGCCGTTCAACGAGTCATCACGCGTCAAACGCCTGAAAAATCATCTGGTGTGTTCTCAGCTCCGTCGGCTCCCCTTCGCTATGCGCTAGTGAAAACCTTGTTTTCATTGTGTTTGTCTTTAATCTGGCATTATAGTAGAGTGTTGGCTTCCTAGCCAGTAGTTCTGTGGTGAAATGACATGTATGTTGCTTTCCTTTCCTTCAATGGATGTAGAAAATACATTAGCATAGTATATACATACAGAGGAGTCGGAGTCGGGGAGTCAGAGTCGGAGTCGGAAGATTTAGAATCTGAGGAGTCGGAGTCGGAGTCGGAGCATTTATCTACCGACTCCACAGCCCTGTTTATGAGAGAAGTTGTTTGATAAAAGTGCAAGCGGGGCATCACCGGGGCAGCTGCCCGCGCATGTGCAGCACGTGTGGGGGCGGGCGTGGGCACATCACGAGGTTTCGGCCGTGAGCGTCAGAGGGCATGCTAGTTAGCAGCCGGGCCAGCAGCGTACGCCTTCCTCAGTGAACGTGGCCTTACTCTCCACCCTCTTGGACCTTCTTATCAAGGCGAAGCTTATTCCTCCAGGGAGACTGTTGAACTAGCAGAGATAACGTAGCAGGGTAAAGCGCTGCAGGGTATTTTTCTCGTCTGAGGACACCAGAGTGCCCTCTAGACGTCTTGCAACTGACCCTGTGCTAACCTGGCCTGCCAGAAATGAGCTTTTAAAACATGCAAAAGCAGCTGTGAAGGATATATAAAAAAAAAAACAGGCACGGCAATTACAGAGAGTGCAAACTCAAGCACAGGGAGCCAACAGTCCGTAATAAACAAGTAAAAAAAAAACACACGGTCTGTGAGCTGGGGAAGCCACACAGCTTGGAGTCAGTCCTCGCTTCCCACAAAACACTGGGATTCCAGTAGTGAGTTATGTTGCTGGTCTCTCTTTCCTGTCCAGATCTATAACACAAGAGGCATTGTGCATATCCAAACATGTCTAGGCGTATTACCTTTATAACACTTCTTTTAAGAAAGGGAAGAGGAGACATACAAATTTAATGAGAGAGCTGATGAGCAAGTCATTTCTAGGCAGAATTCTAGATCCCAAAGTCGTAAAACAGAAATCTGTGTGGCAGCACCAAACACACAGCATGTTAGCGTGTGAAGCCATAGGAGCAAAAACATCAGCTCTTGGTTTCTAAGCCACCACAACCAGTATTTTAAAAAGAAGGGTGAGAAGTTTAAGATTTAACTTTATTTGACATAATAAAAAAACATGTGGATTCTTTTAAGCAAGTATCCATTTTGACTGACTATCAAATTGAAGTGTTTAAGTTACAGCTAAGTCAAATGTCTTCACCTGAGTTTGTCAAGCCACTGTCATGGCCTAGCTATTGAAAATATCAGGAGCTAAGTCAAGTTTACCAGGGGTTTAACGTTTTTTTTGTTGTTGTTTTTGAAGGAATAATGGCATCAGGGCTAAAGAGCTGAGAGTTTTAATCCACAGCATCAGTGCAACCACGAAAAACCTTCAGGCTGCGTCCTCTCATCACGAGAACACACTGAAACATCTTTTGTCCCTGCTATACAAATCCAGGTCTGTTATAGCAGTTGTGGATTCAGGGGAGAAGGGGTGGATTGATTTGTGAACGGGGTCCTGGGATAGGCTAAAGTAAGTTTGACTCAAGTGAGGCTTGTTTACTTAAAATTTCAATCCCAAAAGTCCACAGGTCTTCCAGATATCAGCTCCAGTGTAAAGATACCTGTAAATAGCTATGAGTCACCAAAGTGCAGATACATTAACCTTCCTATAAAGCTTATGCCTAACATTCCATAACCCCTAATCACCCTCCCCCTTTATTCTATGGGAGGAGCTTCTTCTTCTCTCAGAAGCCACTTCTGCCAACTGAGGCTATCTGTGTATCCAGCGGGAGACGTCATACCTGCTTCATGGTGTCTTGCGCTTCCAAGGTTTCTGGCAGTGGTGTCTGCAGGGAGGGAAGAGAGAGCGAGAGACAGAGATTTACAGCATCACTGTAAAGATTCACACCCGGCGTCTGATCACCAAAGCACAACCTGTAACCTGACAAATCCATCAGCCCAGTCACACGCGTCGCCACACTCAGTCTGGTCATTCTTAATGCGATATGCCCTTATTCTTCTGCTTCCATGCTCGGTCTGAAAGCACATAGCCTTAATCCATGAAATTTGAATTGAATTTACCTCCAAGGAATTTGCTTAGAACAAGCTCAACTGGCTGTCACAGCCCACACTGCAAATATAAATCCTGCCAGGTAAGTCCAGGTCGGCTGCTATTGTAAATTTTGAAATGATGTATGCGGCCAAACATTGTCGGTTAAGACACAGTAGGTGCATGTATGCTTCAGCTCTGTGTCACCTTCAGGCTCTGATGGTATGAAGGATCTGCTAACAATGCAATGCTAACATTACAATGATCTGTTTCCTCTTGCACGTCACGTCTCCAAACGGGTTCCCTTTTCAAAACAAGGGTGCGTCCACTGCCGACCCACTAGTAGAAAAGAATATCACAACAGAATACTTGGAATTCCCCGCAAGCACAACCGATACGGACAGATTGATCAGGGTAAGTCAATGTTCTGGAAGAGGAAAGAAGCTGCACTTTATTCCCATGTGGAAAGCAAGGCTCACAGCAAAGGAAAAAAAAACAAAGAGGTTGAATCAATAAAATGAATTTGAGTAACCTATAGGTAACTAGAACACACAAGCATTTAAGATGCATGAAGCAAACAAGAAGTCCTTCAGAGGGGTGACCAATCACAGCCGCTGCTGCTGTTTGTGAACAGCAGGCTGGTTTGAGACTAGAGACCAAATTCTGCTACTTGATGATCTAGCTTGGAGGCCCAGCCTTATCATGGAGCACATGAACCATTTCGATCTGATGCGTGGTGACAAGTCCTGCCCGCCCATCTCACAGGAGCGTGAACCGTGTGATCTCTCCATCTGATGGCTCCACTTCTTTTCCCAGTGTAGCTTCTTAACACAAAAAAATTTGTGATCCAGTGGCACCTCGTCTGTTTATTTTTCCCGGCGACCCGCCGCATGACATCGGCTCATGACAACTTATATAACAGCTTTCTTTCAGACAAGGAAGGTTCCTGTGTGAAGCATGGACGACTTACTTTAACAAACCCAAAAGTTCATGCAAAGTTTTTATAGTTACAGACACTCAAAGTAAAAGGAGCACAATGATCTGACACACAAGTAGCTTCTGCGCAGTGAAAGCTGGCTCTTGGAGTGTCAATTGTCTGGGCTCTCATTGAACAATCAAACAACATATTTCACTGGCTGAATACTAAGCAGTCTCCTCCGCATCCTCCACCTGGTTTGGCTTTTTAAAGAGATGAGCGTTCCTTTGGAAAAGCAGTGGGGTGACATGTGCTGGGAAAGGCTTTGTTAAGCAGCTCCACAGTAGTCTGCCGGCTGCATTCTTGCAGCTGCGACACTCTCCACACCCTCCTGCTCTGTTGACATAGTAAACTGCACTGAGGAAACCATGCAACTGGCTCCGTCGTATGCTGTCCTACAGGGAGATTACCCTGGATTGTTTGACACCTGTAATAAAAAAGCTCCTTACTTCCCCAACAGGCACGGTCTCAGGGCTGTCTGATCCTCAGTCACCCAGCTGAGGATATCGCATCACAGCACAAACACACTCAGTACTCCATCCACATCCATCTCTGAATGTAAAATATTAAGTCCTGTTTTTTCTCCAGGAGGAAGTCTCAGGCACACAATGTTCACCCTGACCTACGTTATTCCTTTTTTCCCCTTTCAACATCACACGCTGCTACTGGACAACAGAATGGAATGTGACTTCGCCCCTGTGCTCCAGAAATGGATTGTTTCAGCTCACTTCCGTCGACCCTAGTCTCGTATGTTGCACACACAATCCTTGGGTGGTGAGAGAACGTGCAGACATCAAGACTACAAAGGATGTGCCGTTGGTGCCAGAATGACGTCACGGTTCCAGCCTCAGCACCACGGAGAATTTACCGGAAATCCTTCAAACAGAACAGCGGTGGCATCCAAAGACGTTCTTCCCCTTTCTCTCGGTTTAAGTGCTTGACTTCAGCCTGGATGTTGAATCTGCCGTTGAGTGCTGTGAGAGGTTCCTATTGAGATTGATTCGTTCCACGCCACTTTGGCTGAATCTCTTAAAGAAACAGACAACAGGACCAGACAAAGCTGCCACATGAATGGTGTATGCCTTTATCTAGGCTGCCACAAGGTGTTTGCATGGTGATGCACCTGATCAGCCTACAGTATCTGTCACCTACCATCCTCTCTGTCTTCCGAATGGGTCGTGGCAAATCATTTGGATTTTGCTAGAAAGGAGTTCTCATGTGGATAGGTTATAATGCTATGCCTACACTCCTATTACAATCTACAAAGCATCTGTTTTCTCTGCACAAACACAAGATGTCATTTTCATATGTACTTTTCCTATTATCCTAACCCAGCTGAGGATTCTGTTTCGGCCTGATAACATGCCAGGATATCTTCTGCTAATTTGTTTGTTATCTGCTCAGAGGAATGCAGCCTATATGTCACACACCATCACACCATTAAAAACTGGCATTAAAGCACCCCCCCCCCCCACACACACACACACACACAGAGAAAGCATTCCGCTTTATAATGTGTATTCAAAAGAAAAATCCAGGACTCTGAAGTCAGCTTATGGTTTACTACTTATTGTGAAAAAACAATGTGCTATTAATAACTTAAAATTGAACATCAATAGCTGCATAATGTTACTTTCCGCCCTCCCACTCCCACACTAAGACAATAGCCCACACGGCCGCTTTTTTCATGCAGCACGGGCCAGAGCACAGGCTATGGCCCCCAGTATTTTAAGCCTCAGTACTTTAGCCCCGATGCCATTCTTCCTTCAAAAACAAACAAAAGAAAAGTCAAGTCCCAGGTAAACTTGACGTAGCCCCTGATCTTTTCAATTGCTAAAACTCCCCTGGGGTGACCTTACAGGACTGACGTAGCCAAGCTCAGCCCTGCAGACCGTCCGCTCACCATCCAAGCACATTATTAAACAATTCAATGGACAATTACAGCCAAGATTATTCACGACCGAAAAAATGAGTAAAATTCATTTACGAAGCGCATCTGTAACATAAAAAAAAAAAAACGCAAACTGCAGAAATCCTGTATGTTCTACTTGGCTTGAAGAAATAAAATTCGATGCAAGTGAAATGTCTGTCATCTTGCACCATTTGTCGTATAAATACCATTCACGTTTTAAACGATTTTACTTTTATACATAATTTAATTTTTAAAAATCTGTAAGAATTGTCCATGCAGCTTTTTAGCCTATCTGCACCATATGCTCTGCTCTTCGTTACATTCGAGGTCAAAAGTTTAGTTCTGCCGAAGGTCCTGCACCAATAACCGAACAGGAGTAATATGACATCAAAAAGGCACAAAGTACTATTCAAACTTGAACTTAGGCTCGTATTTGCTACTATTGGAAACTTGCTCGAATCCAAGAGAGTTTTTTCGGTGGGTGATGTTAATAAGCTGCTCTCCTTTCATAAGGACTGTCACTAGTTTAGTGCGAGCATACAGAAGTTGACACGCGTTTACAAGCCGTATTCCTCACTTGTGTCTCTGAATACAAATGTACGATGAATACAAAAATAACATTTGTACAGTTTTCCTTAAGAAATTAATTACACGATTGATAGTAAATCAAACGGGCTTACGATAATAATAATAATAATAATAATAATAATAATAATAATAATAATAATAATAAACATACCCAGCTGATTCCACGTATGTACGGCGTTTCCCAGGAATAGCGCTCCGGATGCACACGATAATTGTAAGTCCTGAATAGATGCATTTTTTTTCTTCAGCTGAATTAACCAAGATAGGTGCGACTGTGCCTGCGCGGAGAGCGCTCCCCCGAAAGGCGTCTCAGCCCCGGCTCGGAGGACGAGGGACGCGCCGTGGCCCCGGAGCTCGCAGCATTGCGCCGTAAGCGCTCCGTCTCCGAGCCGCGGCTCCCCGCGTCGCCGAGCCGCTGCCTCCCCCGCAGCGCAGCGCCGGCCCACTTCCCCGCCCCACTTGCGCCCAAAGGACACGAAGGCAAACAGCCTGTGCTCCTTCGTTCTGTATAGTTTACTAATTAGTTATAATCGCTGCTTTTTTGGCCTCACACCAATATTTCCAGTAGATACTTAAGATCAGTTTAGTCGTTAAAATTCCATGGACTCGATTTTCAAAAGAAATAATATTTTTATTTTATTGGTTTACTAATTCATAGACTTTGTATAACATTTAATAATGGGATGAATACACGAAAGCATTTACTTATTTAAAAGCAATTACAATACAAAGTCGCCCTAATCTAAATTATTTCCTTTTCTTTATCAGTGAACTTGCGCCAAGGACTAAGCTGAAGGCGCAAAAGAAGGAAGCGTGTCGTTCCTGGCAGGTACATGTCGCTCATGTCGGGGCCCAGATGTCCCACAGCCTGTGGTCTTGGGGGGGGCGGGGGGCAATATGTAAAATCTGTACTTGTTTTGCTCTCTTTCACTGACAGTAAATCAATCGATTAAAGGAAGCACAACACAAAAATATGCTGTTCAGGGTAACGAGACTCGTAAAACAAGAGCAGAAGATGGGAGCGTCAGTGTTACATAGTTACCAAATTAGGCTGATTTCGCTCGGGTGGAATTTCTTGAAATGCAGGTTGAGCTTAACACGAATCAGCATTTAAATGTAATGGTTTTATAATCGCAATCCGCAGTGAAAGTAAGCCTAATGAATGACATCTGATGTCGACATGAGACCACGTACCACCTTACAGCACAGAACATTTTATATCTGTAGGGTCATCTCACCATACAACTGAAGTGTAGCGGAACTGGTTCTTTAAGAAAATTTATGCCAGTGTTACGCAGACGATAACCCTTATCGGCGGCGAGGCAGATGTCTGCGGAGCCATCGAACGGGGCTTTTTGGCAGAGCTAGATAGTAAACTGGGGTTGTCAGATGTGAACTATGAACCGATAGATCAAAAAGTATTTCATGAAAGTGTTTACAAAACAGTAGCTGCACGTGATCAATCAAAAGTGGCTGAATCGCTGATAATTGTGCTTAGAAAGGTGCTCAGTGTAAATGTTACAGTAAATCTTAGTATCGTCCTCTTTTTGCCAAGTTACTTAATGGCAATTAGAAATCAATGCCAATAAAATGAAATGTTTTGCATAACAGGCTGTTTTAGTATTTTAGTAAAAATCTCCCTGCACCTGCAGTTACAGCTGGTAATGTCTCTATAGCACAGGCTGGTGGTCTGTGTCAAATAAACTGCATTTACATTCATGAATGCCAGCCTTCTCCTTTCCAGTGCCACAGCATCACGAAGACCACCTTCATCTGCACAGTACCTATACCCAGTGCTTGAAGTGGCCCGGAACGCAGCGGAACGCAGTTCCGGAACTTCTGTATTTTCGTCTTTTGGGTTCCGCCACTTTTTTCTGCGTTCCGGTACTTACTGAAACTGATGATCCGACGCAGCGACAGTGGCCCGAGAATAGACAATATCACAAGACCGATAAAAGACTATATGTTGTTTTAATGGTTTTTCAGTATTCCATTTATGAATTAGAAAAAAGTAGCCTATGCCTATAGGTTATTGCTTGGAAGAATGATTAAATTAAAATAGTTTTTGAACCAACATATCCTAAAGACTTGATTTTTTTTTCACCGCACAAATGTCAAATGTCGGAAAATTAGAGTTCCTGCACTTATTTTTTCCCACTTCAAGCACTGCCTATACCTAACGGTCATGCTAACACTCATTGCTGTCTTTTTCATAGATTTGTGTTCCTTAACAAGTGCATGGACTTACGTCGCCTTCAGCCTCTCTCCTCTCTGTGGGAAGGCTGGAAGACAGGAGGTTTTCTGGAGAGCACATAGGTGATGGATTGACTGAGGAAAGGGACAGGAAGAAGAAAAAATGAACGGAGCAAGTGTTTCCACTGCACATTTTCAGAAACACTTGCACATACAAAAATGTGTTTGGTTCTCCAGAGGCCTTATGTCAATATATTTGGAGTTCAGTAAAAGGACAGGGGTAAAGATACTGGAATTTTAAGGCAGGGATATTAGGCAGGGCTGTAATTCACTCCCGTAGCTGTCGTAATGTCATACCCCTCCCCCTCCCCAAACGTTATGTAAGTGATGTTAAGGCCTCATGCATTGTTTGCTGAAGAACACAACCATTCCTGAGCTAAAATGGGGCTGCCCTGGGAATAAAAATCAATCCTCTTGTTACATAGTGGGCGCCCCATGCAAAATTCCGCCAGACGGCCAGTCCAGCCCTGTTTGCAAAACCCGGTTGACCCATTTTTTTTCTCTCTCCTTCTGTTCCTCTGACCCTCCCCTATGTAGCAAAGCTTCAAGACACCCCCATTGTTTCTGTGTCCACCTCAACATTGTCTTATCACGTCCTGTGTTTAATTTTAGCCCTACCCTTATCTCTATTTCTTGTGAACTTTTTGTTGTCAGTCTCTGTCCGAATATTGTTGCCTGTGTTCCTCCTCCCTGTCTCCATTCTCCCCCTCTGTCCTCCATTCTTTTTGGTAATATGTGTTTAAGGAGTCTGATCTGCTCCCATCACTGACACACAAAGTCCAGCACCAGCAGATTCCCTAACAACCAACTAACGACCTGCACAATGAAGCTGATCCACGCTAAGCTAATAACACAGTCATAGGCTGCATCTCCTCAGGGGTGAATGGCCTCCATCCGCTGCCTTTCCTCCATGGCCCTCTGGTATGGAGACCCATCTTCCCAGCAGCACTGCTCAGGAGATGCTCCGTATGATGCCAGACCTCAGCCCTTGACAATCCAACAGTTTCATGTGAGTGCCCCAGTTTCTTCTTGCACAATACCTTACAGAGGTCAGTCACCATCAGACCTGGAGAGGAATCCATGTAGATACTGTAGGTTTTTTCTTAATTCCTTTTTCTTACCATCAGGACCAGCTGGTACCATCCATCCATTCACATCCATCCATCCATCTTATAAAGGCTTATCCTGGTCAGGGTCACGGGGGTTGGGGGGTGGCTGGAGCTTATCCCAGGTAGCACACCATGGATGGGATGCCAGTCCATTGAAGGGCGCATAATATTCACACACACACACACACACACACACACACACATACAATCATATTTAGAGATGCCAATATCCTACTTTCATGTCTCTGGACCTCAAGGAAGAAGCCTGCACTGTTCGGTGCAATTTTCAGGTGATTCCACTTTGGCGACACAGACGGCCTTCCTTAATGATGCTGCCGGTCCTCTCAGGAGAACGCCAAAGCACTAGGGGTACTTGCGATATTCCACTTTAAGGAGGATACCTAGCACCACCTAGTGGCTATTTGTATAAATTGCTCCACTGTCTCAAACGAAACTCTGCCGTCCTCCTCGTGCCTTTCTTTTTCACTGCACCATAGTTCACAGGATGAAGTGAAGTTTTCATTACTGTAACTTAACAACGCAATGAAAATGCCAGCTATTAAAATAAGTGTTCCGTCATTCAGTGACAGTTAGGTTTTATGCGCAATTAACCTGTCATATTTTATAAGATTTGTTACTGTGATTTCCTTAGTTCCAGGTAATCTTTGTTATATTTTTTTCCATGAGTAAAAATGATTTTGTCTGTTTTATGCGTGAGCATGCATGGGCGTGGTGTTCTCCTGTCTCCTCAGGGAAGGGAGCTGGCCTTCCTGCTTCTCCACCCTTTTGGGACGTGATCTCTGCCAGTTTTCCTTGTTCGCCTGTCCTTACTCTTTGTTTCTTTCTGACACGGCCGCCAGCCCCCGCCACACCCTCACCGTCCGTCTTTCTTGTCTAACCCCTTCCCAAATTCCTGCAGTTCCTCTTCCACCATTTCACCGTGTCCATGTTCTCATTCCTTTCCAAATTTTCATTTCCTGCTTCCATTTTTCAGTGCTACAGGGGAGGATGAATAAATAAAGCATTTTCTGCACCAGAAGTTTGTGATGGCACAAGTCTGCGTCTGAAACTGTGTCCGGTGAGAGAAACTATCAACGGGAGAAAATTTCGGAAAATCAAAAGTTGATGTAAATCACAGTAACACACAAGGTTTGGTGCTGGATGGAAGTGTCCCCTGAAGATTCAGCATGATTACAGCCACTTTACCACTAAGCACACAAATCAGTCATGTACCCTATACTCGCGTCAAGTCACCATTACAATTCAAATTGTCATGAGTGGCATTATCAGAATTCTGATTCTAAACTATTTTAATAATCGTAGATCCTTGAACTGCATGCTTTGGCAGTATTCATATTTTGTGTATTTATGTCAATGGATTGTGTGCAATATATTTGAATTTAATTCAAAAGGGCCAGAGAGAAGCAGACAGGCATTAATGGCAGACTTTCACTAGACCAGACTATGCAACACAGAGATGTGAGAAGTAAGAGTGACTGGAAGGAGATTCCTAGGTTGTGTTTTTGTCTCCTTCCAAAACCCACTGTGAGTCTCCACCCCTCCACTTTCCTCTGAGCAGTGTCACCCTGCACTTCCCCTCCATATACTGAATTAATGCACACCGAGCAAGAATAACCATGGATGGGAATTCCTGACCCAGCATTTCGGGGCAGCCCCGCGCCATGTCACCTTTCACCTTTAAACCATGGAAGGAAGATCAATCTCACCGTTGGATTCTTTGGTAATACAACAGATAATGTTCTCACACCTATTCTTTAGCAATCAATTTGATGAGCAGGACTTTTGGCGTTTGAATTTTAGGTTAACTAGGTCTTGTTTAGCATCATTGTTATAAACTATTACAGATCAGACTGAGCCGCTTTTAGAATCCAAAATTAGGGAGGTTCATTATGAGAGTTTGGCCATGGTTCCAGCTAGAGAGGGGGTTTATTTAATTATGTTTTTAGGTTAGAGACATTGCATAACTGCTTATCGGAAGGATAGCACTTACAGATCGACGAACACAAAAGCAATGACAGTTTTGTGCCTTTCCCTATTTTGAAAATAAGAAACACTTGATCACATTGTTTACATGATCACCTACAGAATGTAATCAGTGGCAGCTTTGCTAGTTACAGTGCTCTAACATATGCAGTATTTTAGTTTAAAAAACATGGAAGAATAAAAGTAAAACAATATGCGCAGTAATAGTACCCCATTTGTAGTGATGTCACAGAGAACATACTCTTCTAACTAAAAGGAAAATCACTTTATCTAGTCGTGCTATTAAAAATCTCAATTAAGAAACTTTTTAAAAAATACATCTTGATTTAATCATCTATACTGCATCTATGTATTTCTGTAGTTTTTAAATTGCAGAACTCTTCTTCATTTCTAATTACTTATTTTTCTTATTTGTCTTTATATCCTGACCTACAAATCCACTCTTGGCCAAAATCATCAGACAGGTCGATAATTATAATATTTCAGTATCACAAGGCTAGTTTATTCCAAGTCAAGCAAAAAGAAAAAGCTTTGAACCATAAAAATTGCCTTTATACACAATATTTGGACATTTCCTTAAACTCACCATAAATCTCATCAGTTCTTAAACAGAAAGCAGCAACTTACCAAGTTAATTTTAAGACCTCCTAATAGTAAGATCTGAGTTCCTCCTTCTGTGTGTTGGCTGCGAGTAATACGCTAGTATTGGGCTGTCTATCATGACCCAGAAACAGAAATTGTGAAGCTGTGGTCTGCATTAGCCCCCACTAGCTTCCTGCCTGTCTCTGATTGGAGAAAACTGACATCCTGTGGAAAAAAAGTTAAATATTGTGATTTAGAAGAAGAATGAGCTGAACCTGAGTCACACCATTGTTCTTGAATGAGCCCTGGGAGATGAGCTTGGCTATCATATTTTTAAATACAGGTATGTATTGGTAGAGGCATAAAAACATTGTTAGACTGGAGTATATGCAGTTAATAAATATTATAGACATCGCATTTCTGTATTATTCTTCAAGTGTTGGTTTAATTTTAGCTTAACACACTGCAATATTCCATTCTACCTTTCTTTGCAACACCAAATGGGCTCATTACATTTTAATTCAACAAATGGCCTTTACATCACCGTTTTTGATTTTGATTAAACTTGGCATGGAAAATACACATACCTAGCAGAGCTCAGAAATGACTTTTGTTTTTGTTCATTTTATTCAGTTTCAGATATAGTGGGAAAACTTATTAGGAAATTTGTTGAATTAAAAGGGAATATCCCAAATATAAACAGCACTTCACGTGAAATCCAACTTTTCTGAAGCACATGAAAATATCTTGAATGTTGAGAAATTATAACAGAAAATTTAAAGTCATGTCGAAAGGATACACCCTGACAATGCAGATCATTCTTCTATAACAAAACATACTCTTCGTTTTCTTTGTTTCATTTATTGTTATCCCAATAGTTTGTCGTGCTGCATCAACTCAGGGAAGATACTGTAAGGGACAGATACAGTTTTTGCCGTCTTCAGGCAGGTTATGAGGGGGTAGATTGTCTGCATTTTGACAAGAAACCCAAGTTTGAAGAAGTTCCTGTGGAACCCTCCTTTTTACTTAACTAAAATAAACTTCTCACGTTTTCTCGTAAAGGCCCTTTCGTATTCATACGTTTTGATGCCTTGGCTGTATCGCCAGTGCGTTTCTCAATAGCGCCCGCACTTCTGACTGGAAGACGCAAATCGGGGGTCTTGGCAAACGCAGCGTCTTTGTTCTTCTGTAAACTTCAGTCGGCGGGCGGAGCGCAGCTCGTTAGCCGGCTAGCAGGTTAGCAGCTCGCAGCTGAAGTCACCTCGGCGGAGTGGTTTCCTAGTCAGTGGGCTGGCTTCACATTATCCTGGCCGGACAGTCTGACACGTCGTAGGCTGTCCCCGCAGCAGACGGGCGCCTGGGATAGCTGTCAGTCTCGGCGCTAGCTGACGTCCGGTGGAGCCACCGGCGGGGATTTTCGCTCGTTAATTTGTCCCTCTGCGCGTCGGGGCCTGATGGGATACAGTAAGACGCACATCAGCGCGGGCTACGCGGCTTTCGGCGTCGCTGCGGGCTTTTCCGCCTTTCTACTGTGGAACATCGCCTTTAAACAGCCATGGACGGCGGCTATGGGCGGCTTGTCAGGTATATGAGCCGCTGTAATGGCTGACCTGCTTTTCAGTTCAGTTTATTTATGTGCTGAGGTAGCTAACCTGGATATATCCAGCCATGTAAGACTTGTTAATGTTATGTCTGAGGCCTGACGCATAAGCAGAGCTAATGCTAACGGTGTTGCTATAACAACTGGCCGGTATATGTATAGTCTTAGCTGTATGAGCTCTGGGCTAAAGCTATCCACCTAGCTAACTTGACAGCTAATTAATTTCACATTCTGGATATTATGCGCGAAAATTGACAAGTCTAATCCTTAATTTAATTGTCATGAAATGACATGGAAAATGTATGTAATAGTTTTCGATAGTTTATAAGCGAAGACGGTCGAGTTGTACAGCATTTTTACTATCAATTTTAAAAAGAAACAACCAAAATGGAAAGTAGCGCAGTTTACACCTCACGGTACTTGCCACGGCATTTTTACTTTTGATTTCGAATTTTGCTTATCGCTATATGGAAGTGAAAAGTAATAGGAAACTTGTTGACATTGTTCAGTGGCTCTACAATTTACAAAATTGTATACTCCAGTTTATATGCATACATAATTGCAAACTAGTCAGAATTTTTAGGAGGTAACGCCAGCATCAGTTTCTCTGAGGTTTCAAATGAAAATGTACCATTGTATTATTTCATGAACAACGAAGAATGTCTGAAATGTCTTTGATTATATAAAGTATGGTGTATTTGTGCAAATTGGCGTAAGGAATGTGTTCATTTGGGAAATCCTTTAACTGGGTTATAGTTTAACCATTCCAATCTAGGAGCCCATAAGGCGTGAGGTTTGATAACGGTATGCAGAACTCTCTCCTTTTTCTTTGGTAGGTATTTTAGTTGCTTCAGACCTTGTAGTAGTATTATGCAGGTGAGGGTGGCAGCTCCAGGATGAGGAGTTCAAGTCCTGCTCCTGGTGTTCATGTGCAGGCTTTGCATGTTTCTCTGTTTTCTTCTGCAGTCCAAAGACATGCACTTAGCCTGATTGGTGCTTCTAAATTGCTTGTGGTGTAAGTTTGTGTGTGTGTGGTGGGGTCGGGTCGGGGGTCATCTACGGTGTTTCCCTGCCCTGTGCTGCCTAAAATTGGCCCTGTTGAGGATACGTGGTTGGAAGTTGACGGCTCTTATTTCATCTTGCAGTCTGTTTATATTTAACTGTTGTCTAACACGGCTTTACCTGTGAGAGAAGTGTGAAGAATGTTGGTGAGGTTTGAATTACTTCTGGGCCTATACTGCAAAGCAGCATGAGGTGGTGATGCAGCTCTACGGGCTGCTGTTTAAAAAGTCTCACAGGGGAAACAGTGGGATGGAGGCCAGCTCTGCAACTGCCGATCACATTATGTGGTTGTTGTCCTTGTTACACTTATAGTGGGTCTGATTCCAGCCTTTACCCCATAATTGTTGCACTGTATTCTTCGTTGATTCAGTGTAGTTGAAGCTGACCGTTTGGGGGGTCTGGCACTACTATACCAAAGTGAAAGAAAAAGCAAAGAGCCTTCTTTCCAATCAGCCTGACCTGTATGTGCATTGCATCATGGGATACTGTGCTGTAGTTTGTGGCGTTATGCTGGTCGTGTCACTCAGTAATGTTATTTTGAGCTTCTGAATGTACAGTCATGGTTTATGGTAATTTGCCTTTAGGTTGAATTGGTCAAACTGCAAAACAGTGTTGCTAATATTCCTTGAGGTTGTCGTCTGGAACTCCCATGTTTGTGCATTTTCCTAGGTGTGTTGGCGCTCTGGGCCCTTGTCACCCACATCATGTACCTACAGGACTTTTGGCGCACATGGCTGAAGGGGTTGAAGTTCTTCCTCTTCATCAGTGCCCTCTTCTGTTTACTGGCTGTGATTGCCTTCTTCACCTTCCTCTCCATTGCCATCATGCAGAAGCAGTGTAAGTCTCCCCTTCACCTGCAGTCCTTTCACATTGCATTTAATTTCTTTCTAGACCAGTGATTTTCAACCCATAAGTCGCGACCCAAGTTCTGACAGGGTTGCGAGGCAGAGTTGGAAATATAAGCATGTTCAAACCAGCAAGATCCTATGCTGATCCACGTTCAGATTTCCCAGCCCAGTCGTAGAGTTAACCTATATAAATGGGTCTTGGGTCTGCAGATGCTTAGTGCAAAACTAGTGAACACTCAACCAATACAAAAACCAAACCACGGATTCTTAATTTAAAGTTCACTGGCACATCCAATCAGATCTGTGCGATAGGCATTGATTGGCATAAATTGCAGAGTGCACTGCATGCTTGATCATAGCCTGAATTTAAACCTATACTTGACATAGGGTTGCAACGGAGCTGGCATGGTAAAAACTGGGTCGCAGTGCAAATAAGGTTGAGAATCACTGTTCTAGACCATGTGGCAAACTCAAGGCTCGTGGGCCACATCTGGCCTGGAGCAAAATTTACGGCTCACTAAATGATTTTGATATTGTATTAAAAATTGTCCATTAATAACTTGTACCAAGGCACCCTAGTTTATCTGGCTAGGCAACAAATCTATCTTCGTGATACAGGACTAACTTAAATCCGACAAGTTATCGATCAGTCATGTCTTGTGTTTACACGTAGTCAGCCAACAGCATGTCAGATAGACTGTTGCAGACATGCTCAACAGAGACGAACAAATATGTATGATTTTAAGGTTTACAAATGTTTTTGACCATTAAACTTTATTCACTTTACCTGAGAAAAACTAAACTAAATTTGGTGGAAGCTAATTGGTCCGCTAACATTTTCAAAGTTAGCAGAAATGCTAATCTGCTAATGAAAAAGTTAGCTTTGCTAATTAGTGGTTAGTGGATTAGTGGAACCCTGCCCACAACTGTCTATAACAATATATTCTATATCTTTCTTCAGTATTATTTAAATAGAGAATTCTTATGGTGTAATGTTTACTGCGAAGTTTACATTTGTAAATTATTTGCATATAGTAAAGATTGTATGGTAACTTCTGAGGTATAATATGACATTTAGTATTGCACAGTGTCCGTTTACTAATAGGAAACAGAATACTGAGGAACTAATTATCAAACTCCTTAGTTTTTTCTTGTATGTCAGAGTGCCCTCATCTACCGTCTCCTTGATTTGACTGAAGTTGTTTCCCCAATCTTTTTCTGAATGTGATTCAGCTGTGATTGACGTCAGGAGTTTCTACTTGTCGTCCGTGTGGAGCTTCATATCCCTGAAGTGGGCCTTCCTGCTTGGCCTGTATGCCCAGCGCTACCGGAACGAGTTTGCAGACATCAGCATCCTCAGTGACTTCTGATCGCCCAAGCTGGTGGACCCTGTGCTGCAGCTCGCTGGACAAATGTGGAGTGAGGCCAGAAAGCAGGGAGCTGGCTGTGGAAGCACAAGCTCTTAGAAGACAAACGTGGGCCTCGGATTGGCTGTCATCCCCTCCAGTGCTGAGCCTCGGATTGGCTGTCATCCCCTCCAGTGCTGCGGCCTTCTGTGCTAGTTTTCTCTGAATTTATACCCTATTTTTACATCTGTGGGTTTAACCTGTATACATCTGTTACTATATTCCTTTAGAAGAATAGTTAATGACCCAGAGGGCAAACTATGAGAGTTTATGCTCTGGGTTGTTTTTAATTTTAAATATATGGTATTTTTAAACCAGATCGTGTAACTACTCAGAAAGCCTTTCCTATAAATAAGAATACACTAATCACTCCTCTAGTGGCAGTGGTCACATCCTAGGTGGCTTGTGGTCTCTAGTGATGGATATGTAAAGGTGTGTTTGTGGTGTGGCTTAGCCTGTTAGCAAGCACAGCAGTGTTTGTATACCCACTGGCATACGGTGGTGTTCAGATTTTTTATGTTAGTTATTTTCCTGTTATTTAAGTCCTGTTAATAAGTTCATCCCTTAGTATTCATTAATGAAGCAACCATTTGATTTTCTGTGGATTTGTTGTTCCATGCAGTCTGTCTTTTCACCACTGGGTGGAGCCACTTGGTTACAGTTTGCTATTCAGGACCTTCTGTTTGTTTAATCTGTTAAAAAGCCTTGTTATCCCTTGCATTCATCCCTGAACACTTTAAACGTTTCAGCCTAAGAATGTTCCAGGTTATTAGAAATAATTAGCATTCTCTCAAAATCCTTGATCCATTTTTTTCCTCACAGTGTTCCTGTTAATGGCAAGTGTGTGTTTTGGTTGTTGTTTAGCTGTTGTACAGAAAATGGCACTTATATGTTTGATGTGAATAGGCAAGCTGGCTTGTTTTTCACAAGCAGAGCTGAAGTTCAGAGTGCAGGGGATGCTGCTTATCAGTGCACTGCCCGGCCACAGACTCATGGGATGCATCCACTGCTGTGCGGAGGGTCCAACAGGCCCAGGCACTCTCCTTCCTAAGCAGTAAAGCCAGCAAGGCTGCCCCGGTGGAAGCTCAACCCTCCGCCTGGCTGATCCAGAGCTAACCTTCCAGTCCCTGATCCAAAGAGAGCACCATAGATGCATGTTTTTGAAGCAGTGGAGACTGAATTGAACAGTATGAATTGATACTGAATTCAGCTGGTGGGCTGTTAAAGTCCCTAATTGCACTGTGGTTGCAAGAGAATCCCAGACAACAGTCAGTATCCACTATTCCTGTTTTTTTTTTTTTTTTACTCTGAAACATAAACACTGATCAGTGGTGACGTTGTGCCGGTGCTCAGTTCCCTTGGAATGTATTTTAATTTGTTAATTTAAAGGTTGAAGACTCTTGTGGCAGTTCCCAAACACAAATGACATCAGACTGACACAATGAAATGTCAAGCATTTTTAAAGCAATACTTGTGTGATGGTTGTATGTGGAATAGTGTAAAAAAAATGCAATATATTCCTTTTTTTTAAATTAATCTCAGGCTTTTCTGTCATAACGGTTTAGTACAACTTGGGTTACATTTTGTACTTTTTATTAATAACTCAAGCATTGTATGTCAGGTTTTACAGATATATACACACATGCTCACACACATGTTGTAACTGGCCCTTGAGATCCTGCAGATTGACACTGACGTCTGAGCTGATCCCACACACATTTGACTGGGGAAAGATCGGGGGACCTGGCTGGCCACAGGAGGACCTCAACATGACGCAGGCAGTCCATAGACACACGTGCCACGTGGATGGGCGTTGTCTTGTGAAAGACTGTAGCAAGGTGCTGTCTCAGGAGGGGTAAGACATGCGGACGCAGGATGTCACTGACGTAGCGCTGTGCCCTCAACGTCCCCCGAATCTCTACCAGAGATGACCTGAAGTCATATCCTATGGCTCCCCACAGCATGATGTCATACCCTATGGCTCCCCACAGCATGATGTCATACCCTATGGCTCCCCACACCATGATGTCATACCCTATGGCTCCCCACACCATGATGTCATACCCTATGGCTCCCCACACCATGATGTCATACCCTATGGTTCCCCACACCATGATGTCATACCCTATGGTTCCCCACACCATGATGCCAGGAGTAACACCGGTGTGTCTCCACAACATTAGCAGGATTGGTCCTCTCCCCTTGGTGCCGCCATATGCACACGACGCTCATCTGTGGTCATGCAGAACCAAGATTCATCACTGAACATGGTACCACGTCACTCATCAGTCCATGCCTCCCAGTTACGGTACCTCTCCAAATGCAGCCGTCTGTGCTGGTGTTAACAGCAGCCTCTGCTTAGGACAGTGAACCCGTAGTCCGACTGATGCCAGTCATTGAGACACAGTGCAGGATGACACGGGGTGATGTTTTTGTTCCGCATTAAGTCAGGATGAAGGTCGGGCCCTTTCTGAAGTCCGGACCAGTCTGTGCACTGCTCTGATTCTGAATATGGAGGATGAACTTGGCCTGTAGGCTTCAGATACCAGGTCTTCCTGGCTGAGGTTTCAGAGTGGCTTTGGGGGGTGCTTCCTCGGGTTACTCTAACCCCCACCATAGTCTTTTACCTTAAGCTGAGTTTTTTAAAGACATGCTTTTTACTTCATTTGAATTCTTGCTTCCTAATCATCGGGAGTGTGTTACATTTACAGCACATTTACTTATCAGGGACCTTAATCAAACGTGACGTACCAGTGACGTACCAGTGACGTACCAGTGACGTACCAGTGACGTACCAGTGACGTACCAGTGACGTACCAGTGAGGCAGGAAATACATCACAAGCATACGTGCATAAGCACAGCTATTCTGAGCTTCCAACGAATGCCCAGTAACAAATGTAAGAAATCATGAGAACGGGAGCTACACCATACATGCGGACGTAATCTATAAGGCCTGCTAAGGTTATTCATATTAGAAACAAAGTGCAGAGCTAAGGGTATTCAGGACACCTCAGCCTAGGGATGGCACAGCGACTGGCGGGCTGGCTGAGGCCTTCCTGGAACAGGTGGGTCTTGCTGTTCCATTGGAGAAACTCAGCATTCTGCAGGCTGAGCCTCTGAGCTCAATGCCAGGAAGCAGTCAGTAACTGCCGAGGCTGTGCTGGGAAAACGGGGTAAAAAAACAAGAGGTCAAAGCTTACTGTAATATGCCAGACAAGTCATTATACCCTTTGGGGGTCTCCATGACTAGCAAAGGGCACGGCTGTTTGCCGTGCGATGATGATGATGACAGATGGAAACTATGGATGTACGGGATTGCATGCCGCTGTAGTGAGCAGAGCACGTTTTGTTATTGGGAAACCAAATCTTGTTTAAGAGGCTCTGTTGCAATCCACTTCATGGGTTTAAGGAGGATCAGTCAGTTCCAATGGCAGTGTGCAGCGCTGCTCCCCTGCAGTGTCAAATTCCACCTTCAGTCAGTGTGAAGTGTGAAAATCATACATTCTTTCATGTTGCCCAGATTTCCATTGGAAATTCCTCCTACAGTACACAGATGTAGACCTGTACAGGCAGTCCTCAGGTTATGAAGCAGATCCGTTCCCTAAGTCTGTATTTAAGTCGAATTTGTTGGTAAATCGGAACAGTAATTACACAGTAATAATAAAAATGAACTATGTACTTTACTGTACTTCGAGCAGTCGAATCACTCAAGCCGCACCTTTTCACTAGCTTCACTAAGTAGTGCGTGCACTCATTATGGCAAGTGGGCATTATTACGAACTGTTGTATATAACTTGTTTTTATGGCGATGCATTTGTAAGCATGAGTCGCCCGTCAGTCAGACGTTCTTAAGCCAGAGCCTGCTTGCATTGCCCTAGTATGTGAGTATGTGGGCACTCTGCAATGGACTGGCATCCCATGTGTGCTGGAGCCCAGCGTTGTGCCCAGTGCAGCCTGGCGTAAGCTGCTGATGCCCCTTGTGACCCCGACCGACATAAGTGGATGGAAGATGAACGGGTTACCAGTTTACCATTCTATATTCACGTGAGACCCATAAAAAAGGGGAAACAAAAATAAGATTAGATAGATAGTACTTTATTAATCCCTCGGGAAGGTTCCTCCGGGAAATTTAGTAATTACAGTAGACTGAGAATAATAAAAGTGGGGCGATACAGGAATGGATTAAAAATCTGCCATCCTCAGATCACAGCCTCCCACACGAAGAAAGACAAAAGCAATTTTCCACGTATTACGTGTCACTTTTTCAGGGCACCTCTGTGAAGTAGCACAATATTTGGGACCTCCTTGAATGTGGCTGAGAGGTCGTTCAGGCCTGCTGCGTTTCCAGTCTGGAGGAAGGGGGGATGGCACCAACGCACAAGCGGGGCCAGGATTTGCTGGGGGTGGTTTCTAATCAAAAGGAGTTTGCCGTTCCAAGCCCACATAAAAAAAGGAAAAAAAAATTGGCAAGTCAGGCGACTTAGTGGTGGGTTGTAACCTGTCCTTTGAAGTGGGGCGACTGTTAAATGTGCCGTCCGTCTCCGTCTCCTTCCCTCCCTGGATGTGGAAGAGTTGGGCAGGGAGCTGAAATGCATTGAAGTTTTCTCCCAGACGTGGAAGCAGCAGAGCTTTTAGTGGTCAATTAAATAACCAAAAAAACAGTAGATGTATGCTCTGTTTTATGCTTTTTTTGCATCAACTGAAACAATGTGTGTTTATTCGCCATTGTGTTCTTTTTTCAGCATGCTGGGGGCAGGATCGCTTCTCCAGATGCTGGGCAGAGCATGGCTGAGCAGATGCCCACAGAACCCACCTCCCTGTGCCCGAGCTGCTGAGCTTTAACTCAAAGGCCTCGGTGTGGGATTATTCTGGTAGTGATGGATCTTGCAATGGAGAAACGACAGAGATCCTGTTGGGGTTCAAGTAGTTATGTTTACTGCTCCCCAGGCTTCTTGGCTGAGATTTTCAAGTGATCCTTGGATGCTTTTTATTCTCAGGGAATGAGCTCATCGTCTTGCTCTTCATCCATTTTTTTAGCCAGGTTAGTCCATGTCATTTTTTTGGAGGTCAGGAATAGAATACTTCCTCAGGTCTTTTTTTGGTCTCTTGGTTGTGAGTTCTTCTATGCCAGACGTACTGTCAGCATAACACTGCAAGAGGGGTGCAAACCCTGATTTCTTCTCCCTTTTTCTTTCTTCCCAAGTTCAGGAAGCAATAAAACCCACATCAGCGTGGTAGGAAGTGAATGCAATACTCAGCCTTGGATGCCACTCCCTAAACCGCTTTCTCTGAACACATTTACCTTTGCTGTACATGACAGATGGAGATCCAATGACCATAGCAAACACATCTGTGAGCATTCAGTTGCTTCTCAGCACCCCTGAAAGTTGATGTGGCTGTGTTGGTTTAGCCTGGAAGGGTGTGTGCTGAGACAGTTGGAGTCCCAACTGGAAGGTCAGTGTTCTGGACAATCCAGTTCACCAGTCATCAGACCATTTCCCTGAGCAAACCCTCCCCTGGATTTATGTGACTTTGTAGGATGAACAGAGTGAATAATGCTTTAGATGAAGCACAGGACAGCGCTCTATGAGTTGTGTAATGCCAGTCTCTCCCGCTTTGTAAGAACCCAGCCCCACATCTGTGCCTTTGTACCAGCAGAGGCCTTTGCCATCCCTGTGCTGCCTGGACCCTGGCTGGGCTCCTCCTTAGGGTTAAGGACACTTTCGCCCCCAGCCAGGGTCCATATGGGGACGTGCCTGCTGGCTAAAGGCATGACGCCGCACTTTTTGTGAAGCTGAGGCAGATTAATGAACAGGCCTGCCTAGTGATCAGGGTCCCCTATTGGCTGTCTATAGTTTTAATTTTTTTTAATGAATCTTATTGTTAACACTTTACAGTCATGTATAATGCATTATAGATACCTTCATAATACATTATAATGAATTCATAAAGTATTATAAACATGGCTATAACTATTTTAAAAAGGCATAACACATTATAGCCATGTCTATCATGCATTATGAATGCTCTATGAAGCTGTCATCTATAATCCACTATAAATACCTTCATAATGCTGTATAAAGCATCCTTAATTCTTATACTGAGAATTATAACAGATTATGAAGCAATCTATATTGAACTATAGATGAGAGTAAGTAGAGTTAGAATTTAATTTGGAGTTTGTTAAATGGTACAGGATTGCAGAGAGTTTAAAAAGTGGTACCATTCTGTAATTGTGGTGTTTTACAGGAGGTACAAAATCTCCAGTGGTCCCATCCTATCTGGAATTGTGGTGGTCTACAGCAGATACAAAGTCTCCAGTGGTCCCATCCTACCTAGAATTGTGGTGATCTACAGCAGATACAAAGTCTCTAGTCATCCTATCCTACCTGGAATTGTGGTGGTCTACAGCAGATACAAAGTCTCCAGTGGTCCCATTCTACCTAGAATTGTGGTGATCTACAGCAGGTACAAAGTCTCCAGTCATCCCATCCTACCTGGAATTGTGGTGGTCTACAACAGGTACAAAGTCTCC